TCCAGCTTCCGCTATTGTCTTTATTCGTTTGAAGGTGGCTGGCAAGCTTGCAAATCGCAATCATGTGACTGCAAGATGCTGAAACCATTGTAAATGTGAGCCAATTGCCAAGCATCCAAAACACAATCGTGTGATCACAGGGGTAGTATGATGGTCATAACTTCAAAAACAGATCATAAATCAACTTTTTCATAACTTTGAACTATCACTGAATGCATGGTTGTAAGTCAAGAATTACCTGTATTTTATTCTATGAATGCTACCAAAACAGCTACAGAAACAGCTACATGTTACTTGGATTGTACCATGAAAAATTTAAGTCAGAGACTCTTTAGCACATCTGAGTTTACCTTTGGATCATCTCCAAACTGCCCAAACTGAACATCATTTAGTAAACTACGAGCTGTTTTGATGATATCTTTACATTTTTTAGGTGTTTCTTCAACTTTTCCTGCTAAGAATAGGCAGCAAGCTCCAGTCACCTATTAAAAATATGATTTTAGAAAGCCATTAAAGTACATAAGGCCTATATATTCGGTATTGGTGACCATAATTTGGTCTTATTATTTCTGCCAGTAAGAGCTAATAAACTAAACAAAAATCGAATAGCTGAGATTCATTTGTGATATTATTTTAAAAGTCCAGATTTTAAAGTTGCATTTGTTTTTGATTTACAAAACCAGTCTTCTCTGGGAAAAGCAGAGCAGTATACTGTTTTGTATATATACTGGAGGCTGATTCAGGTGGTGTGCATCAACATATTCAAAATAGGGATTTACACAAAATTCTTAAAACTCTAATCTACCTTCTCCGCAATATCCTTTAAATCCTACAGGAACTACAACAAGGAATATGCAGATAAATAATTGCATATTCCTTCCTCTTTATTTCTGCCTCCAAGTCCTTCAGATTCCTGCAATGTATTTTATTTCTGGGCTGTATTGTTTTTGTTCAGATATTATTATTTTTTGTGAAGCATTAGTAGATAGCAATTACATACTGTAAACCAAAAGCAATGTATTAGCACTTACATATCTTGGGAATTGTTTGAAGGAATGGAACATATAAAACCGATGGAAATATATTATTCCAGTTGCCAGTGTGTCATAATGTCTGAATACAGGATAGGAATGTAACATATTTAGCTCAATTTCAACTATAAATATTATAAATGAATAAAACTGAATAATATATCAAAGAGAGCTAGTCAAGTATGCTGATTATAGAACCTGGCTAAAAACTGAGAGACTGTGATATCTAGTTTTGCCTTAGGCATGAAGACAGTTGAGTGATCTTAGACTTAGGTAACTATAGGAAGAAGCCAATGGCAAATCACTTCTGAAATCTGAAAACCGCAGGGATTAGTCCAGGCAGTTACAAGTAAAGATTGACACAAAGTCATAAAAATAATGTATGGAATTGTTATGAAGTAACTAAAATTATTTTATTTATTTATTAAATTTATTGGCCACCCATCTTACCACAAGGAAAATTAATGGATAAAAATATCACACTGGAATCGAATTACAAGCCCAGGTAATTTGAGATTAGATTCCTAGTTGTCACATCATAAGTAATGACATATAAAATATGACTACCTTGTATACAGTTCAACAGATTAATAACATTACTATTTAATTACTAAAATTAACCTAAGTTTAGCATTTGAGCAACAATTTAGAAATGCTAAGGAAATGTTCCAGAAGTTACATTATTTGATTGGCATATGATACCGGGTTAAACTAGTTAGAGGATTATGGACTGCAAACAATAATAAATTGTAAATTAACAGATTTTGTTATTGAAAAAAATATTGTACCAATAAAATAACCACCAAGCTGCAACTAAAATTGGGAAAGGAAAAAAAAAGTATTTAAATAATAGTTTCTGATTGTTAAAAGTTTAAATAAAGATTTTTGTGAAAACACTTATTATTTGAGCATCAAGTAAAAATATATTATGAAATCTTAATCCTATATACTGCACAATAATCTTAAAAGGATACAATCCCAAACGGGTTCCTACATCAAATATAAACCGGGCACCTTCTCTTCTGTATCTTGCCTCAGTAGCTGGATCAAGTCCCTCTAGCTGTGATGGTGTATGTGCCAAGTCCTTCTTATCCCAATACCAACATGGTTTTGTATGATCCAGGTTTGCCAAAGCTACAGAGGGACTAGAATTTTCTTTGTTTTCCTTCATTTATCAACAGAATAATTCCAGTAAGGTTTTGTTTTTCATATGACTTTAGAATCTATGGAAAAAGTAAATTTTGATCAATGAGTCTCTGAGGAATTTACATTCAAAACCTAACATGTTTTCAGGCATTTTTATATGCCACCTTCTAATTCCTAGAATCCATGAATTTAGGTATGTGAGGTTTTTTTTTTAATGTTCTATTCTTATTTCTTCCATTTTTATTCATTTATTATTTAAAGTTTATTGTGCCTTTTAAAAAATGTTTTATCCCCCTTATTATTTTATTTTATAAATAACACGAGGCAGCAAACGTACCTAATTCTCCAGTTTCTTATTTCCCCTACAATAATCCTGTGAGGTGAATTGGATTAAGAGAAAGTGACTGGCTCAAAGTCACCTAGTTGTCTAGTTTTCATTGTCCTTTAATCTCTCAAGGTAGCTAGCAACACATTATAGAACTATTATGTTGGAGAAGGACTGGCCTGCTATGGTTACCGAAATCATTCACAGCCCATTTCCTTAAATTATACTGACAGTGAGCTACATGATCAACAAAGTTTCCAACAAGGTAGGATTTTCTAACTACTACTCAAATTATCAAACGGTCAAGTGAAATGAGATTCATCTTGCTCTTTGCAGTTTTGCTATGCAGAAGTCGTCAAAGTGAAATTTTCACAGGGTAAAACAAAATATGAATCAAAATGCCCCACAACTTCAGTACAGTGGCTAAGTATTGGTCCTGAATTATCCAGGATTACAGTAAATCAGTCCTTGGTCATGGTACACTGAGTGACAATTCTATCTCAGACAAAACTACGGTATCTTACAGCCTGCTATGATGAGGATTAAAAAGCAAGGAAAATCACTATTTAGGAATCTTGAATTCTTGAAGAAAAGGTTGAATGCAAATCTAATAAATATATGTAACTTCAGCAAATCAATGTTAAATCTCACTATGGGGCTAATTTAAAAACTGGTAGATTTGAACACTAATAATCCTAAATTCGGTAACTCTGATCTAGTAACTACATAAAATCCAAGAAATGTAAAATCTAAGAAAGGTTCATACACCACACTCATCAAAATCAAACTAGTATACAATGCTTGAAACAAGCTCCGTTCTCATGGTATTTTGATCTGAAATAGCAGATTGCCTCCACTTTCCAAAGAACAGCACACTTCCAAACGTTAGATTCCAGTCTTTTCAAACAAACATTGGAGTCATTTCTTTACCTGACACTAGTCTCAGGTATGGTGGCAGTGGTTTAACCAATTATGATTTTAAATCTATAAGATGCAGAGTACTGTAAAGATCTATTATTTGCCCTGAGTCTTCGGAGAGGGGCGGCATATAAATTGAATTAATTAAATTAAATTAAATTATCAACTCTGGTCCCCCACAGTACCTAGAAAAACAATGAAATAAACAGGAATAGTAAGTATATAAAATAGCCCTCTCATTAACTGCTCTACAATTCTGTAATTCTGGCCCCTACTGAAGCCAAACTCTCAAAAATTGGCTACTACCAATTACAAGGCAAACATTTTCCAGTTTATTCATTTTATATTCTGGATAAATGCGCACATGTTTCACTGTCAAGTCAGATTTACTTATTTAATAAACTTGTCAAGAAAGACCGCATTTACTTTATTCTGTTTTACGGCCATTATTATATTTATTATATAACAATAATAATTCCCGAACTGCTGCCTTTGTATTTGAAAGTTGGGCTGTAACTTTCTAGAAGGGCTCTTGGAAAGTAGAAAAAATTCTTTCCGCCCCGTCATTTAAAACGAATATTTTTCCATCCTTCACCGGAGCCGCTGCCACTAATTCATCAAAAGCAACCTCAGCACACCTCTGTCACTTTGATAGTTTCAACCATGCAGCAGCCTCTCTTTCAGTCAATCACGCAATATTGATGGAACTACTCACGGACTACGGGTACAACGGAACCCGAAAACAGCAAGCCAGCCACCTCAGCCCGTGCGCGACGCCATCTTGCGAAAAGCCAACCAAAGTCGTTGCTGACGTTATTGCGTCGTCGCGCGCAAGGTGAAGAAGACTTGATGACGACGACGACGCCTCCTCAGAAAGCGCATGAATACCAAGCCGCGAATCAAAGCTCCGCTGTTTCTACTAACCGCCCCTCCTCCGGTAACCCCGCCTGCGCGCGAGACAAGGTCTGCCATTCCTGTAAAACATTTCAGAGTGGTTGGCCAATGGGGAAACACATAATAGAAAAAGGAGGCGTTGGCTATAGCCAATGATTTCTAAGAAGAATGGCGGGGAGGTGGGGGGGGGGAAATGAGTTACTTTCATTTTCCCGCCAATCAAAATTTATTATCCCGCCTCCCCGCTAGATATTTTCGCCTGCTCCTTTTCTCTCCTTTACACGCCCAGTCCTGTAATAGGCGAGAGAGGCCAGGGGAGCGGCTTACTGGATTGGTCAGCCGCCTTACGGAGAGGACTGGAAACCAATGGCCGCGACGCAATTCTTGGGCTGGGGAGGGGAGGGGCGGAGCAAAAGGCGAATGAGGGCAAACACTGGATGTTCGACGGCGAGGAAGTTTGTGTGTGTCTATGCGTGTGTTCGCGCGCGTGCGCGCGGAGGTGCCGTGGTTGGTTTAGCGGTCGCCCCTGTCGCTCCCCTTCCCCCCTCCACAACCCGGGCAGAGCCGTCAGGTGAGAGGATTTTTGAGTCCCTTGTTGTCGTCGGTAAAAGGTAACGGGGAGGCCTGTTCTGTCACACCCTCAACTTGTGCAGATTATTTTACAGTGGGCCTTGACTTGGCCCATGTCTTCCTCGTCCCGGAGGGGGGGGGGATGCCCCCTCTCAGTCCGAAGGATCGCCATCTGCGTGCGTTGAAGTGGACAGGGCGATCCAGACTCGTGATCTCTGCCCGCCCTTCCTCTTCCCTCTCCGTGCGATCACGCCCACATGGTTCCGTGTTGATTAACCTGGAAGAAGAACCGTCGCCTCTCCTTGGTTGTAATCACTGCTCACATTTACCTCATAGTTGCCCTCCCTGAAGGGAGAGGAACCGTTGCTCTTTATGCAGTACAGGAGGTCTTCAGAAAAGCCCAACCAAAGCTATATAGAATTGCAACTTGGATTGTGCAGGCGGAGTTAATCAGTTGCAGTTAAGTTTGGAAATGAGCCTCGTCCCTTGAAGTTTGGGACTTTTCCTTCCGATAAAGGTGTACAGACCAGTCGAGAAATTTTGCCTGCCATCTTCCCAGGGCCATCACTTTAAAATGTAGAATTTAAATTGTTCTAAGCCTCCGTTTGTTTTCGTCTCTAACTTCCCTTATCCGTCAACCCATTAAATTATGCATTTCCAGACACCCCCCCCTTTCATAAATAAAATCTCAATTTACTTGTATCTTGTTACTGATCTTTATAATTGTATTTGATATTTATAACTTCCAAATATTCCATAACACTCTTAGGCCATCATAATATCTTCACATTTGCCTGTCTATTCTGCCTTTTAATTTCTTCTTTTGTCAGCAACATGCCAATTTTAGGTCTCCTTTTTTACCAGTTCTGTTTCTTTTTTTCCTTAGTCTTTTCTTTTAGTTAACTCACTTTTTCTTTACAAGAACTTCCATTTTAGCTTTCTCAAACATTCTTCCTTGATCTTGATCTTGATCTGAATGCTTTTCTTTTCACTTAACCTTATATTAGTAGTATTTAGTTTCCTTTTGTTTTGTGTATATAATACAGTTCCACATCTGGATCAGCTATTCTACTATATCCCATTCTTCCCCTAAATGTATACTAGGGGTTAGCAGTCTTATACTGAAGTTTTGGACTTCAGCTCCCATTAACCTCAGTGGTAGTTTAAAATATTTGGAAAATATTCTAATACTTGCTGTATGTGATTGAGGTTCATCGTAATTTTTCTGCTTATCCTTTTTGTAGCCTTGTTCACATGATAATAATCATGTTTGGATTATTATCTTTTTTGATAATTGTTGTAGAAGTAAGTATTTTCAATAAAGGGGTTTCTCAAGTTTGCAATAAAAATTTATGTACAGCATGGAATTACTATTTTTAAATCAATTTGATAGACGCTTTGTAAAACAGCTTAATGGAACATTATTAACAGCAAGAGAAAAATGGTAAAAATACTAAAAACAATGCATTTGCACTTTCTTGAAATGCATTACTGTCATTTTTAAATGAATGGATTATTTAGTCCATCTCTTTATGTTTTAGTAAGCCTATTTCCAGTTCTTTACGCAATTGTGGCATAATATAATTTTGCTATGTGATGCTTATGGAAAATAAATAGATTAAGGTTTAAATTTTAGTGAATTTTTGTGGATAATTAGAAAATTTTCTGGTAATTTTTATTTTGGAGGGGATTTCTTTATTTTATTTTGTATAGCTAACATGGTTTTCAGTAAATGTATATCTGATAATATATGTCATTTTTAGCTATTTTAATGGTGTTTAAAGTCCTGATAATTTTCAGGTATAATAATAATATAAAAATTATTTTTGCCAACTCTCTTAGAATGGCATTGCATACAAATAGTTTGCAGAAACACTAGTTTCTTCCAGTCTGCTAGCCTCTTATTTGTGTTCGCTCTTCCTCTTTTTAACACACTCTTTTTTCTCACTTTCTCATATCACTGTCGATTGCCAAAGAAGCGGCAGTTTTTATTTGAAATTTGATTTGCCTACATGGAAGGACTTTTGAAATTAAACCAAGGTCATGGAAATTAGACCAAGCTATGTGAACTGTCCTCTCCTATTTCATATAAAAAATTAAGATGTGCCATTGATTTTGGAAAATTATTGCAAATGTATTATTCTTGTTTATTTTTTAATTTATACATTTGGTCAAACTATATTTTTAATGACATAAAGTGATTCAAATCTCTTCATTGTATTGTTTTTATTTATTAAATTTAAATGCCACCCATCTCACTATTGAGGGACTATGAGCAACTGATGATGATGATGATGATGATGATGATGATGATGATGATGATCTGTCATAGACAGCCAGATATTTAGATTGTTTTTGGCATTTTACCCCTAAAAATGTAGGCAGAAGTTGTTTTGTAGTGTTAATGGTGTCATCACAGGTTGTAAGCTATTTTTATTAAAGCTGCCTTTTGCAATTGACTGATGATTTGTCACTGATATTGGTGTTAAAGTGGTGCTCCAGTTGTTTTGAGATTGTACTCCAGGCCACCTATTACTATTGGTACTATCGACTTTCTTTTACTACTGCAGCTAGACTTTTATTTGCGGGTCTTCGTATTTTGTTATGTTCTCATTTCTTTTTCTTCTCTTCTGCTGTCTCTAGTTACTGTCAGTTCCACTATCCAAACTTTTTTATCTTTCTTATCAACAATTGTCAAGTCTGGGATATTATGGGTATTATGTGGCACATACTTGTCTGTTTGAATTCTAAAAACCCAGAGCATTTTAGCTTCTTCATTTTCTATTACTTTGCTTACTTTATGGTCCCACTAATTCTTGCTTGTAGGCAGTGATATTTTTTGCAGATTCTCAAGTGCACCATTATTGTTTTTATTCTAAATTTATTGTGGCTGCTCTCCCATAAACTATGAAACTAATCCTGTCCTATTTTTATCTAATCAACTGGGAGGGGGAGGGGTCAAACAAGCAGTTAGTGCTCTTTACCTAGCTACATATTCTGCCTCTCTTCTCAAGTTCTTCATGATGAAAAGAATCTATTTTTACACCATAAAAGATTACTATTCTTACCTCCCTGTAACTTATCTTAATGCTTGAGTCCAATTCAAGGCAATTCTAATTGACACTATCTGCAAAAAATGATAAAAATTTCTCACAGTGAAGCTCCAATTCTAGTTCCTCTTCACTAACATCTAATGAATAAAGATATAGCCATCTATTCTACACAGATACAGTGAAAACCGAGAAGTGAATTCTTTTTGCAGTATGTATTGTACGGAGTACAATGGGGCTTATGATTGCCCCATTCCATGTTCAATCTGATCTATGAAGTTTATAGATAGTGAAGTAAGTTTAACATACTTTTATAGAGTGTAGATGGTGTGAAAAAAGCCATTAACTCTTCTATATTTCACAGTCACTTTCAAGTTGTTAAGAGGGGATTTAGCTGATTAACAAACAAATCTGTCATACTCCATTGTGATAGAATTAAGAATATCAATAGGATTAAGATAAATACTTTTTATTGCACATATATATTGCTGCTTATAAAAGGAAATTGAAGGGACAGCTTCACTAATGTATCAGTTACATCAGCCTGAGTACTAATTTTGGATCTTGCAAAATATTTTCCTGCTTAAGTTCCTACCCTTCCCTGCAATAGTAGCTAGGCAATAAATTATAAAATATACTTTAAATTTCTAAATAGATTGAGCTAAAAGAAACAAAGCTGAAATCTTTGTGTTCAGGGCCAGCATACTTACAACTATTAGTTTCTGAGAACTAACAGAATGGCTTCCAACTTGTGTTTTCCATTTTTCCACTGATTAACTGCAGCTGAATTATGGCCATAAATGTATTTCTAGTCTAACAGTAAAGCACTTTCCTTCTCAAAAAGGGAACAATTTGGAAACTGTCTTTTGGTTGAAGGAAATGCTTTTTTTCATAGCTTACTTGGTTACCCAACTCCTATTTTCAAAGTTCAGTACAGTCTTTCCCAATATGATTTCCTCAGATGGTTTTATTGTATGTTTATTGGGATTATGGAAGTTGTAATCCAACACATCTAGAGACCATTAGGTGAGGGAAAGTTGCTTTACTGCATTATTTTACATGTTTCACATTATGTTTCCTAATTGTGATCTCAGAATTTCAGTCATAGTTTTTTTGGGGAGAGTTATTGTTGCCCAGTTTTGGTGATATATTGCTTTGTAATTGTTATCAAATATCCTTTCGGAAGATATTTTTTAAGGAAGTTTTCTTTAATGAAACTTTTTCACTTCTTTGAATTAGGCCTCAAGTATGAAAAAAAAATTGAAATCTAAGATTACATTCTTATTCAAATTGTTTACCTGTATATAAATTTAGACTCTGAAAAGCTAGAAATGTATATTGGAAAGGATTGGGAAATTGTCAAAGATTTAGAACAGGGATGTCAAATTTAATTTCATTGAGGGCCGCATCAAGGTTGCATTTGACCTTGGGGGCCCAGGATGAGCATGGCCAGGGTGGGCCATTTTTGCTCCTCTTTCACTGGCAGAGGGCTGCAGGAAGCTGTCCCGGCCTAAAATAGGGCCCCGGGGGACGCGTACCATGCCCCTGAGCTCTGTTTTCACTGGCAGAGGCACTGCAGGCTGGTCCTTTGCTGTTTCCAGGGTGGCCCCGTGGGCCAGATCAAAGCACCCTGCGGGCTGGAATCTGGCCCCCAGGCTTTGAGTCTGACACCCCTGATTTAGAATAATTATATGCATACAGATACTAATTTATTTTTATTTTTGTTTTCCCTTCCCATTTGTTTGTTATGAAACGTTAGGTGGTATTTGATGGTCTAGTTTTGAGTGTAGGAAGGGCATAGAAAAATCTTCAGTGTTATCATTCAGTTTATTTACCATCATAACATTCTTACATGAATTTCTTACAAAAAGCCATATTTTAATGTATGGTTTTCTTGTAACTCTATGAAAGACTATTAATCTTTCTAAGTGAAGTGATACTGAACAAAATATATTAGTCATGATATGGCATAATTCACACTACTTAAATCTTGATACTAGAAACAATAATTCCATGTGCTAGAGTACAGGTGATGATATGATGTATTGTAATATGATAATTCATGGTCTCCTTATAGTAATTTTTCATGCTTGGTTTCCTGTGTTCAGTGACATTCGGATAATTGAAGTTGTTAATGTTCCTGAACATCTAGTATATAGAATTGCTTTTTTCTTATAAAAACACTATTTTTACAAAGAATAGTACGTAACTTTGAGCCTACAGAGTTAGGAAGTATTCAGATTCTTTGAGATAGTAAATAAAAGGAAGAAGTAGAGCTATTTACTTGATAAAATTTCAGTCAAAATCAGTTTATTTGTATTTGTGCATATGTATGCAGATAATGATTAAACCTTGTGATGTCATAGGCCAACAGCCATGGGCTAGAGCAGATATTATCTAGTGAGAAAATAATCAACAACAGAAAGAAATTATGACAGATTTATTGAAGCCATTGAAGAGTTTCAAAATAACCAATACACATTCTGTCTATTATATGAGGAATTGGTCAACTCCCTTATTTTGTATTTGACCCTCCTGACAGTGAACTGGTGGAGTCCAAACTCTTTGGAAATAGTTTTGTAACCTTTTCCATCCTGGTGAGCATCAACAACTGTTTTTCAGAAGTCAACTTCTTTGTTCAAGCTATGACACACTTCCACATGTTGTGAAGATCAACATGTGTACGTGGAAGCCATGGTGGCGCAGTGTTTAGAATCAATATAGCAGCCTAACTCTGCCCATAGCCAGGAATTTGATCCTGACCAATTCAAAGTTGACTCAGCCTTCCATCCTTCTAAGGATGAGGACCCAGATTGTTGCAGACATTTGTAAACCATTCAGAGAGTGCTATAAAGCGGTATGTACCTAAGGCTATTATTGCTATCAAACTATGACAATGTACCTTTGTAGTTTTTGAGATACTATATTTTGAATACTTTCATATTCAACAAGCTGAATATACAGGTTAAACATTCACTTTTGTTTGCTTGAGTATTTTTTAAAAAAACATTTTTTTTTAATACTATCAGTTCTTAAATACATGAAAAGCCAGTTGCATTTGGTGGACTTTTGTTTCAAACAGGAAACAAATGGCTGTGCAAAACATCACAATGAAATCACATTTTCTTGAAGCATTAAAACAACTATGGCCTTTGCTTAGCCTTTATCATTTTTGCATGTATGTACAGGTAGTCCTCATTTAAGGACTGGCATTTCTGTTGCTAAGTGATGTGATTGTTAAGTGAAATATTACATGACCAGACCAGACTTATGGCATAATTTCCATTACAGTTGTTAAGCGAATCACCCATGGTCTTTAAGTGTGACATCATATATGTGACTTGTGACTTACTGACCACTTCTCATTGACTGCTTGTTGGGAGCTGCCTGTGAAGCTCACAAATGGCTATCAAGTGATAATAAGTAAACAATGATAAAGGAAGGGAGGAGTAAAAGAAGGAACTCAATTGGATTTTACTGTTGTCATTGGGCTTCTGCTTGATAGGAATACTGTGACAGTTATAAGTTGGAGGACCAATCATAAGTTTGAAATTTGCTGAACAGGGCAGTTGTTAATGGAAGATTACCAGTACATGTATAGTTGGTTTTCTGGTAGTTCCTATGGAAATTACTTATTACACACACTTGCAGGGACAATTGGGCTATCTTCACAGCAGCTTTAAATCATATAACTGCTTTACTGTTTTGAGGAGATACACTCCTCAAATCACCTCTTTTGAATGCCCTGCACAATCCTAGAGAGTAAAAAACTATTTTTCATTAAGATTGGTAAGTTCCTGTCAAGAATTTTATTGCTGCCACTTTTATGTACTTTTATTGCTATTTTGCTATAATTATAACTTCATAGTAAGTTTTTCCAGATTCAGTTAAATAAGTCAAATATATAATTTTAAAGAGTTAATTAACCTTTCTTCATTTCCACTTTCTTTCACCTTTAATTTGATAAATATCTATTAAAAAAGGAATCTTATATATTGATTAAAGAATGCTGCTTATTTGACTGTTATTCTCTTAAAGCTAGAAGATGGGGAAAAAAAGCCGAGTGAAAACACAGAAGTCAGGTACTGGAGCTACAACAGCTGTCTCTCCAAAGGAGATATTGAATCTGATTAGTGAATTGTTACAGAGTAAGTATATTATCCTAAATTTTTTGGCAGGGTAAGGAAATAAGAATCTACATGGATAAGAAAAAATGTTCAGTATTCAAACATGGAATCAATGCTTGTTTAGAATATTTTTGTTGATCAATTGCATGTAAGTCTTCTGTTTTCCAGGTTCTGATATTGTGTCCTGAAATATTTAGGGAGATGTTTAGGTTTTTTAGATTTATATTTCTAGTATTTGGAATGAATAGAATTTATTTTTACATTTGTATAATGATTTTCTGATAGATATATACATATTTATAGACACACACACAATTGAGTTTTTGCTTATGCTTCAGAATGTAGCAGCCCAACTCCCGGTCCTGGAAAAGAGTGGGAGGAATATCAGCAGATCCGAGCTCTTGTTGAGAGAATTCGTAAAAAGCAGAAAGGTATGTGAATAAAGCAGTAAGAAGTAGCATTGAAATAATATTTAATTGCCTTCTGTTGCTCTGAAAATAACAGCTTAAGTAAATTGGTTTTGAAATGTGTTGTTTATGTTGTATCTATGTTATATTTTTCCATCATTCTCAGTTGCCATTGTTGCATTTGTGAAATAGGTGGCCATATAAATAGATTCAAATAAATAAATTCCAAGCAAAATCTGACTCCTTGGCTTTCTATGATTGGTGGGTTTTTTGCCTACATTTCAATATTTAGTTACATGGCTAGGTGACATCTTCTGTGCTAGAAGGAATTGGATTTGCTCTCTGTTTATGTACACTAGCTTACCCTATCAAAATTGATAGCGCTATAATTTTATCTGTGACTGTTACTTGATTAGGCTATTGTTTATTCTGTATCCCTAATTTCATAACACTTAACCTTCAACTGGGAAACTGTAGGCATTCCAGACCAAGCTAAATCCATATACCCTATGGCTGTGATAGCAAACCTATGGCTCGCATGCCAGATATGGCACACAGAGCCCTCTCTGTGGACACACATGCAGTCACCCCAGTCCTGCGGCAATCGCGTTTCTCCATCACGTTTCATTTAATCAATTCCAACTTCTTGTGAAAGAAAAAGATCTCGCGAAGTTGGAATTGATTGAGTGAACTTTTTCACTCGCGCGCTTCACAATGGGGGAGACAGGATCCCATTGTTCTCCTGAAGCCCATTACGACGCGGAGCCACTATGCGACCCTGTGTCGGCTTGGCAAAAATACAGTTTTTTTCCCTGCAGAGCTACCGGTGTTGGGATTCTCCGTCTCCCCACCGGCCAGCTGAGTTTCTTCAAGTACTTAGCTTGGCCACCTATTAGCTCCCCCCCCCACCCTCTGCCTCAATGAGTGGCATGCAAAAAATTCGGCCGGGCTCCTCAAGAGACGGAGTTTTCAAGGAGCCGATCTAAGCACCCGGGCTGGCTACAACACAAATGTTCATTCTTGGCTTTGAGATTCCTAGCTGCAATGGGCAGCAAAGCTAGGTTCGTCCTTCTGCGCTGATCCAGCAGACAAAACAGAAAAAGGAGGCGGAGAGAAACAGTCCCATTGCCAAGGTACACACGGGTCAGACGGGGGCAGAAATTCCAACTTCAGCCTCTTGGTGCGGTGCGGTGCTTTGGGCAAAGGCTGGAGGGAAGCAGCACTGGCTCACTCACGCTTTCTCCTTCCCCAGTCTAGCGTGATGCAGGCAGCACTGCAGCTTACGTTGCCCTTCAGGTTAAATTGCCGTGTTGGCACTTTGCGATAAATAAGAGGGTTTTGGGTTACAGTTTGGGCACTCGGTCCCTAAAAGGTTCCCCATCACTGCCCTATGGTAGGTTTAAAAACATGATTAAAAGACAAACAAGCAAGCAATAAACAATACCCTAACTGAGGAGCTACCAACTCAGAGAAACAATCAAGTATAAAACAACAGCCTAATCAAAAAATAAGGCGAAAAATCATACCCTCATCAAACTGACAAAAGGCAAAGTACTGTGTATAAACAAAAAAACCCATTTCCTTCTAGCAGTAAAGATGTTCCCATGCCAGGTAATGAAACGTCTGCAAGAAAATAATCATGTTCTGAGACCACCTGGGATTCCACGGTTCAATCATGAGCTACATTTTTTTTTAATTGAAAATCAGAGTCATTAATGTAATGTATACTAGTATTCTAAGACATACTATTTTTATATTTAAAAAACATCTAGTGTTGTAATAAAATAATATTTTGAATTTTCATTTACAATTTGTAGTTGTAAATGGGGAAACATTTTCAAATGATATTTCCTAAAGTGCATTTAAAAAGGTACATAAAAAAATGAAAGGAAATTTAGTGTTTTTCAGCCTCACAATGCTGCAGAAAAGTATTGACAATGCACAGTTAATTATTTGGTTATTTATCCAAAAGTTATAGTCACTTATTAAAGCAAGATTTTATGTTGGCAGGGACCTTGTTAAAAATCTTTGTTTATTAGTGGATAATCTGATTTATTTTCATTTGCTAGTAATGATTATAATGAAATCAGCAATTTATTTCTAAAGATAAGTGTATTTATATATTTATTTTTCTTATTTGTGAAGTTTTAAAAAGTTTAATCAAAATGCATTTTGAGTGTGGAGAATTTTAATGATCAATTTGGGAAGTAATGTTCTTTCATTTTGTATAGTGAAAAATTATTCCATCTTAACTGTTCACTGAAGGATTCAACATGCATATTCACAATTTAAAAGACTAGTGGGAGAATAACTTGAAACTGCTTCTTTGGAGGTTTTCTTCACAGTTGTGCATGAAAATATTTGGTTTATAAAAACTGCAAATTAATAATGTAAATAAATATACAATACAAAAGTTTTAATATTTTTATTCAAATTTCAATTTACATTTCTTTCTGTGTATAGAAGTACATGCATGTTCATTTACCCAAGGCACCCACCTCATATATCCTAATAATCAGATGCTCTCTGTTCAGTTTTGCTGATTAATCTGTCCAAGATAGCATGGGAGGGAAACTATGTAGAGAAGGAATGTTCCTGCTTGCCTTTGCTGGTTCCAGGAGTCCATAGCTCTTGATATTACTGTATATAAGTGAAAAGTCTCTATGGCAGTGATGGCGAACCTTTTAGACACCAAGTGCCCAAACTGTGCACGTGCATGCCCAAACTGAAAGGTGCGCGAACGCATGCATGTATGGACATGCGTGGACATGCATGAACATACGCATGTGCTGACATGCACACGCACATGCGCAGCAGAGACCTGAAGACCAGCTGGCTGGCGGGAGGCGGGGCATCCTAACACTGGCAGTGTGGCAAGAGGTAAGATCTTTTCTTTTATGAGCTTCTGTTTCGTCGTTTGCAGGGAAACAGAAGCTTACAAAAAAAAACCCGCCAGGGAGATTTGACCTGGCATGCATGCCAGCAGAGAGGGCTCTGCGTGCCACTTCTGGCACGCATGCCATAGGTTCGCCATCACAGCTCCATGGCATCTGCTCTCGCAAATGGAACTGCATACAATCACCCTCTGCTCGTGCTTAACCATTCCCCCCCCCCCCCCCCCCAGTCTGCAAAGCCGGAAAGGTTGGGATCACTGTTGTAAGGCATAGGAGATCATGTTCCTGAATTTCCAGCCAAATCTTTCCCATCTCAAACAGCATATTTGGTAAAACCCTAAGAATTCATTTTAAATACATCAAGGAGGATAGAAACTCAAGACTCCATTTCCTACAAGGCAATTGGCTGAGGGAGACAAGTAATGTATTCCTGTATCTGCAGGGAATACATTATATTGGCCAGGATCAGGGAAATTTCCCTTTTCATTATTTTTACAAATAACTCAAGGCAGTGAACATAACATACCTTCCTCCTATTTTCCCCATAATAACCTTATGAGGTGGGTTCGGCTGAGAGGGGGACTGGCCTAAACTCACCCAAAGTCAAAGAAATACATTATGCTGGCCCATTTGACTCGTAACAAGTAGCTGCCTGGTAGCATTAACATTTATTTAGAGAATCGGCTACCTCAATAGCTCTGCATGGACATTTGTGGGGAAAAACTGTGGTCAGAATCTTCTTTCCAGTAACATTAAGTTTGCATAAGCAGATGCAGCCTTTGGGTTATCTGTTATATGGAAGGTGCCTTCAATCATTCTAATTGCCCCTGGAATATTGCTAAAGTTGATCCATTTCTGTTGTCTATCTTCAGGTGATTGAGAATGGTACTTGGATTTAACATGTTGTGCCCTTTTAGTCACCAATGTGGATTCACCAGTACCTTCTTAGGAAGAATTACATATAAATAACTACAGCCACTCTGAGGGAATGTTTATGTTCCCTAATGTCTATTGTACCAATGTACCACATTGTTCTGTATTGAATGTTTGTTGATAATTACATCAGTATGTATACATGAATACATAATAAACCTCATTTTGACTGCCTTTTTCTGAAGTCAATTCATAGTACAAAAGTGGGATAGCTTCTTTTGGGTGACAAAATGTTTAAGCCTTGCTTTCTAGCAAGAAGTGGAGTTAACCCACTCATGTTTAAGTCTTTGTCAGGTTAATTCTTTCCATTATCAAAACACAGATTCTATCTCTGCATGCATTACAGAAGTTGTCCTGTCTAATTTGTTTATTAATTCCATGACTGAATCAATGAACAAGTCACACTATCATGGCCCCAAATTAGCAAGGTGCAAAGTTGTGAAACTTCTGTATGTAGATGATGCAATTCTTCAAACTGTTGCTGTCCAATAAGGCTTAGGAAGGCAATGAATTATATAATCCACTTGCAAAAATCTAAAGTCATGGTCATTATTCCAAAGACCAAAATGCAAACACATTTAAATACTTGAGAATGGTTTTCCATCCCAAGAAAACTGGAGGGCCTGTTGTGATTATGTCTCCCATTGATATGAGGTTCTTCAATAGTCATCAAGCATTTTTTAAAATCAGAGGCAGATTAGTACTAGCAGTGTTAAAACTTTTCCATGCTACAATCTTGGCCCAAATACTGTAAGGAACCCTTCTCCAACGCGCTGCTTGGAGAATCCAAAGCTTCGGGTTATTCAATAGTCGAGTAGCCTACACTGAGTGTGTTCCTTTAAATTTCTTCTTCAGACACGCCCACTTGCTTGACAGAGCCTCAGTTTAGTTCACTCAGTCGAGCCTGTGACACTGTCTGAAATTTTCTCCACTTAGTGACTTGACTATTGTTTCTTCTGAAGCTTTGGATTCTTCTCTAATAACAGCAGCGGTGAGTGAATTGGGACTGCATAGCCAGGAAGATCTTCTCCTTCTTAAAGAGAGCCCGTTTTCCTCCCCTGCTTGCCGCCGGCGTGAGGGTTGGTTCCCCGGCCTACCGGCAATACCGCCCCCGCCATTGACTGGCCTCCCTGGGCGGCGTGGAGTTAAGGCCCTGCTCTCAGCGGCACACTCCATTTCCAAGTGACTTCTCAAGGC